TAGACAGACAGACAGACAGACAGACAGACAGACAGACAGGCAGGCAGAGCGAAAAAGAGAGATTACGCAAAACAGAGACACAGAGAAAGAGTAAGAGACAAAAACATTCCATGCATACACGTATTCTCCGACCAACTCTCACTCCTCCCCCCTCCCCTCCCCCCACGTGGTTGGCGGGTATTCTGGTGTGGTTTGCTTCTTCTTTCCTATGAGACATCTATCGTCCTTATCTCCCCTTCTTCTTTTTTATGTCTGTTACTCTCTTGTAACACTTCTAATCTTCTAACGCTCATATGACCGTATGCAGTTGCGAGCGCCGTAAAACCTCTACTACTCACCTCACTCCTTCACTCCTAACGGTCGACCACATCCCACTCCCCAGGGTGAGCACGTGTGGCTTGTGTTGGACGGTCCGGTGGACGCCATTTGGATCGAGAACCTCAACTCAGTGCTGGACGACAACAAGACCTTGACCTTGGCCAACGGTGACCGGATTCCCATGGCCCCCAACTGCAAGATCATCTTCGAGGTGCACAACATTGACAACGCCTCGCCGGCCACTGTCTCTAGGAACGGCATGGTCTTCATGTCCAGCTCCATCCTCGACTGGGACCCAATCCTCAAAGGTGATCACTGAAAACTGCTTGTGGTAAAAAACAAAAAACAAACCCAAATAAACAAACAAACAATAATAAACTCACCCCAACACTTGTCTGTAAGCAACAAATAAAATTAGTAATCATTAACATATCCCAGTTGATCAATTTTGTCGACGCTGGTTTTTTTTCTTGTTGTTGACGTGAATTTTGATGAAAATGATATGGCAAGTGTTGCTGTTTTCTTCTTCTTTTTTCATAAGCAATACTTCTGATGTTGACGCTATTTCTGTAGTCATTATAACTGACATACATATGAAAGTTGAAGCACAATTCCTCTTATATTTAATTTATGATCTAAATTGTGTCGACAGGGACCTAAAAACCTTACAATGAAATAATGTCTGCATGCCTAACAACTTTTTATTTCCCCTCCAGGTTGGCTGTTGAAGCGGCCTCCACAACAGCAAGATGCCATCTACACCGCCTTCGAGGGCGTTTTCCCTAAACTGTATCAGTTCATGAAGCAGTCACTGGAGCCCAAGATGGAGGTCAGTTAAATGTCCAAGTGTGGGAAAAAGAGGAAGATTGGGGAAAATCTGAAATTGTTTAGGTGTAACCCACATTCTGCTGACGTTTCATCATATTATTATGATAGACTCACCCCTTTAGAAATAACAACAATGTGTTTCATTTTCCAATTTTTTGGCACTCAAAATGGTAAATCGAAACAAATGCGTCCTTAAAAAAACGCCGCTTTCATAAGACTATTCGACAGTATTCGACATTTGGATATAAAACTTGTCTTCGGTAAGCCCGAGCCAGGTGGGTGGAGAGCCTTAAAATCACCCCCCTCCCACCAAACCCAAATCCAGAACGCTTTGTTTGGGAGTTTGGGATTCGAACCAGCGCAGTTAGTCCCGTAGTCCAGCATGATATGGGCAGGACTAAAGGTGCGCCCAAGGATGGGGAAAGAGTAGTGGTAATAGTAGCAGCAGCAGAAGCAGCAGCAACAAAGCATCAATAGCAATAATAATTATGATGATACTAAAAGTTGCAGTTGCGGCAGTGATGGTAGCGTTAGTAGTTATGAAATACGACCACGGATGTGAAGCTGTGGCGACCTCTTTAACGAGTAGAACTCCACGAGAACCTCGAATTTCTCAATTTTTCCCCACTCAAATCTATTGCCACACATTTTCTTCACAATGCGTGTAATGTATTTTAATCATATTATTATTATATATACATACGTGAGAAAATAGAAAGGGAAAGAGGTAAAGAGAGACAAAGGGAAGAAACAAACGGGCAGACATGGAGGGAAAGAGAGAGAGAGAGAGAGAGAGAGAGAGAGAGAGAGAGAGAGAGAGAGAGAGGGTATAATGTAAGGTAGAAAGTCAGTCAAGTCAGACAGATAGACAGATAAACAGACAGACAGACAGGCAGACAGCTAGACAGACAGACAGACAGACAGACAGAGACAGAAACACACCCACCGTGATAAAGACGGTCTTGGCGAAACAAAGAGTACACTTTTCTCATTGCTGTGCCTCACTGTTATTACTCCAAACTGGACTTAACGCCATTTTCTCCAGGTCCTCGAGTGCAACTACATTCGCCAAGCCATTGACCTGCTGGAGGGTCTCATTCCCAACAGTGATGACCACAAGGACATCAGCAATGACCATCTGAGGAGGCTCATCGTGTTTGCACTGATGTTCTCATTGGGCGCTTTGCTCGAGCTGGATGACAGAAAGAAGGTAAGGGAGGGAGGGAGGAGGAGAAGGGTGAGGGATGGAGGACAGGAAATGAGGGAGAGAGTGAGGAAGGAAGAGGAGAAGGAAAGGAGGTGGAGAGTTGGGGAGATGGATGAGAGAAGGAAGGTGGTAGGAAGGGAATGAGGGATGAAAGGGAGGGAAGGAGATGGACGTAACACCGGATGGATTGGGTTACAGGAGGGAATTAGCGAGGCAGATGTGAATGAGAGATTAAAATATGTGAAGGAGGTAGAGATTTTTAAATTATTTATTTAGTAAGTGTTTTACGGCGCTCGCAACTGGATAAGGTCAGATGAGCGCACCTGCAAATTAAACTTAAGACAGCAGTAAGAAGGAGCCAAGGAGAAGCAGTAGAAAGGCTGCAGAAAGAGTCAGGAGCCCAGAGGAGGGGGGCAAAGAAGTTGAGGGGGTGGGGGAAGGAACTGGAGACGAAAACAGATGACAGAGCATTACTAGAAAGCAGGAAAGGAGGTGAAAGGAGACACTTTTAGAGAGGATTTTTCTCGTTGCTACCCGGATTCGAACTCGGGACCTTTGAATGAGAGGTGAACACCTTAACCTTAGAGAGCCCCCCGGAGGTAGGGATTGAGTAAATGGATGAAGTAGTTTTTAGGAGAAGAGTGAAGAAAAGAGGGAGGTTAGCAATATGAACGTGGGCGAGAGAAAGAGACAAAGATTTTATGAAAATTCAAAACAAAAATGAATTAGACATTTGTTGAATGGCACCTTCGCACCGTTGAGTTCTCGAATTTCTCCATAATAATACTCGAACATCTTTCTTTCAGATGCAAGATTGGCTTCAATCCAACTGTGACCTCCCACTTCCTAGCCTGGAGGGAGAGGACACCATCTACGAGTTCGTGGTGGGAGAGAAAGGCGACTGGCAACATTGGCAGGAGAGGGTAAGACAAACCTGAGTCCTGTTTGATATAATGCTCCCAAGCAGTCACACACACACACACACACACACACACACACACACACACACACACACACACACACATGCACAAACACACATACACCCACTCCACCCCCACCTCCACATACGCAGTTTCCCACTCACTCATCCACATGCAGACAAATGCACAAACACACACACACATGTATAAACAAACACAAACACGCACATACAGTCAAACACCCACACACAGTCTTTCTCATTTTATAGAGTAATATGATATATTCCAAGCAGACTGGGTTGGCCCTGACGTGTAAGGTTGAAGCAAACTGCCACCTAAACGATCCTTGTAATGTTAATGGGCGCACAAAACATTTACAATTATTTTCACCCTCCGTACTGTAACAAAAATGATACGTCATTTATCTTGGTTAAGAAAAAATTAGTGGGCACCTCTGAAAAGGTGAGTAGGCCCTACTTTTTCTGCACTGATACTCACCATGACCAATGTAGGTACTTGTGCACTGCGTTGGCACGTTCATCTCGTTGAGCAATTCTATTCATCTGTTGGGATCTTATATCCAGTATTGCACCTTACAGGCAGGGTCGAAGCAGCCTTCGTCTTTCTCTCTTCCACAAGTATCACTTTCGATAATTTGCTTTACTTTATCTGCCACTTGTATGAGAAGGTGTCATGGAGCGGTAGGGACTGGTGGGTTTTTCGAGGGCAGAAATTGCGAGAATCTAAAGTGTCCTTATCTCCCTCAATCCACATTTTCCTCCGTTTTCATCTGTCTCTGTAGTCGTGTTTTCTTGTGTTGTAGGCTTTTAATGTAATTTGTCTGATAGGCATGAGAGTTAGATGCCCAAGCCATTTTATTTTTTTAAAATTTTCTATTGTGGTGTTGCACCATTTCTCTGAAGGCTGAGTTAAAACCCTATCTGTTCTTGTCTTGTTTACAGTCTTACGGAAGCATCTGTTTTCGCATGATGTAATTTTTACCTCCTAGAGGTTTGGCTAGTGGATGGCTGGTGCCTCTATAAATAAATCATTGATGGTCAGGTCAGGTCAGGTTTGGCTAGTTTCGATGGAGGCGTTAAATATGTTTCTGTCGATCTCCAGGTTCCCGAGTATGAGTACCCACCCGACTCCACGCCTGAGTACACATCCATCCTCGTGCCCAATGTGGACAATGTCAGAACAGATTTCCTCATCAAGTCCATTGCCAAACAGGGCAAGGCTGTGCTGCTGATTGGTGAACAGGTATGATGGGGGCGTGATATACACAATATGTTATTCTCTCCATCCATCCATCCATCCATCCATCCATCCATCCATCCATCCATCCATCCATCCATTCATCCATCCATCCATCCATCCATCCATCCATCCATCCATCCATCTATCCGTCTGTCTGTCTGTCTGTCTATCTGTCTGTCTGTCTGTCTGTCTGTCTGTCTGTT